CGGGATAGAGGTTGCAGCCTAGAGAGTAGAATGGGAGAAGACAGTTTTTCTGGCTCTGATCGGGCCCTGAAGAAGGCTGCCCTAGTTGCATTGGGGTCTTGGAGAAGTCAAAGTCAGTTGGCTGTAGATGAGGATTTTTGAGTTCCAATGTCCAAGGCAGATTCAAGTCGATAATAATTTTTCTTCAGGTATCACCAGCTTCTCTTTGGAATAATGTCCCAAGGTGCCACTTCAAAGCAAAGGCAGCTGTCCAATGGGCCTCATTGTAGAACTACAACATTGTGTTTGCAACAGTTCAGGTGAATTTGCTGAACAGCAGCAAATTGTTAGGTTTGTGTATTTTAACAGAATAACAGAATTGGAAGTGACCTTAGATATCTTCTAGTCCAAGCCCTTGCTCAGGCAGGAAATGCTACACCATTTTGAGACAAATGGTTGTTCAATCTCTTCTTAAAGACCTCCAGTAATGGAGCATCCACAACTTCTGGAAGCAAATCATTCCACTGATCAATTGTTCTGTCAAGAAATTTCTCTAGTTCTATGTTGATTCTCTTCTTACCTGTTTATTTATGAAGAAAATTTATATGGCCTCCATAAAACTCACTCACAGTGATCCAGATAGCTTACAAAAGTCAGGCTATAAACTGAAGCCACGTTGGGACGTAAAGCCCAGTGAAGCTCAAGACCTACATAGTTCTATGACTGCCCATGACTGTACTGGATTTGTCCATCCAGGAAACTAATAAAACCTGGAAAAGATCCTTCCACCAATAAATGGCAACTTAAGGAAGAGTAGATTCAGTTCATCTTGTTGATAGAATAACAGAGGTGGCAAGAGGTGGCTTGCCCTTGTCCCCTTTTTTGAGTTGAGAGAGAGTGACAGGCCCAAAGTCATGATATTGTTCCAATATTGGATAGATTCCATTTGCAGCAGCTTAGTCCCAGACACCCTCTCCTTACTAGATATTTAGATGATTGTGAAATATTTATCTTCAGAAAGACATCTTGGGATGAATAAGAACCTACTGAGAACCAGTTTGGTGTACACACTAAGTTGGGAAATGAGATTTTTAGTTCTTGTCCTTCTCTACACACAAAACCAACTGAATGACTTTGGGCCTCTCACTCTCTCAACTTAAGGAAGAGGACAAGGGCAAGTCACTTTTTAGAAAAAAGTTTCCAAGAAAATTGCAGGATTTGTCCAGGCAGTTGCCAGAAGTCAAATCCAACTTGACATAAACAAACAAACAAACAGGTTTCCCTGAATGATGGCAGATCAGATTGATTGATTATTTGATGGAGTATAGTTTTCTTGTATGTTTATGTAACAACTGCAATAGTATTCCGCCAGTAGGTGGCATTGTTTACCAGTTTAGGTCATGGTATATACTGTTCTTTTGTTCTAAGAAAAGTTTCCTGTTACAGTTAAGCAGGAAAGCACATGGTAACTGTACTTTTTGGTTGATCCATGCCATGGTGCTATATATAAACAGAATTTCGAACATTGTTATTAATCAATGTTTACTTTTCATTGTATTATATTAATACTCAGTCTTCAGAAATGGAGAACCATAAAAAATAGTAGCAATAAATAACGAGCTGGAGAAAGCAGCACTTGCATTTTATTATAGGTCGGTTTAGTAGGTTGGGTTGAACCCATCCTTAATGGGATTTATTGAGTGCCTCATGGGTCTCTTAACTGAAAAATGTTTTGAATGTCCAGAAAAGTGAGTTCCAAGTCAGAGTTGCAGAAATTAATCCAGGACATCTCACGTCAACCTTTGAATAGCAGGCCAAACCAGGACAAAGAACACAAAGCAGGCATAGGCTATATAAATATAGAGTCCTTTTAATTTATACTTGGTTAATAATTACAATATATTTTTGACTACAGGAATAGAGCAGGTTCTTTTCAGTGCATACATTCTTCAGAAAGACAGGACTGGTTTTGGCAGAAGTTCTATGGAATTTGGAGAAGAGGATTTTTGCCTAGTTCGTGTTTTTCCTCCCCAAAATTTCAGGCTTTTTGGTTAGTGTTTCCGATTGCAACACTTGTCAAGCTGATTTTTCAAGGGCATCTGGGGTGGGGAGGCCCCAAAGGTAAATATAATGGCTGTGACATTGCTATCAAAGACCCACATTCAACCATTGTGAGAGCCGATCATTAAATTTTCTGGAACGTTGCGAGCTAGTTGGGAGCATAGCCCCGTGTGCCATTTGGCTGTTCAGCCCTTACAGGTAGTCCTCAGCTTACAACTCTCCATTTAGTGACCTTTTGAAGTTATGATGGCACTGCAAAAAGTGACTTACGATTGGTCCTCGCACTTACGACAGTCACAGCATCCTCACAGTCATTTGATCAAAAGGTGGACTCTTGGCAGCTGGCACGTATTTATGATGACTACCACATCTGATTGTTATTTGCACCCTTCTTAGCTGGCTTCCGTCAAGCAGAGCCAATGGGGGAAGCTGGATTCGCTTAATGACTGACTCACGTGCAGTGACTATCAGCCTCAATTGCAGTGATTCACTTAGCAACCTTAGCAAAAAAGGTGGTAAAAGTGGGCGTGACTCACTTAACAGCTGCCTTGCTTAGCAATGAAAATTCTGGTTCCAATTGTGGTCATAACTTGAGGACTATCTGCATAGCAGCGGCAATAGCTGCTTGTTAAACATTTACTAGCCTACTAATGGCCCCACATCTTTTTTATGTGCAACATGGGTCTGATAGCTGTGAGAAAAGAACCAGGCTTCAGTTACACAGGCCTGGCCGCCCTCCTTATGCCCACTGCCTGCAGGCACTCCTGCCAGTGAAGCCAGTTCTGTGACTTGTAATTCAACCACATTATAGGAGGGCACCAGCTTGGGGAAGGCTTGAGGAAAGCTGGTCCAGTATATAAAGAAATAACAGCATGAATAAGACAGTAATAACACAAGTTGAATCAATTATCCAGGGTCGTGTTTAGGAATGCTTTGAAACAAACATAGAGCTGCCTAATCAATTCTGAATATATTTAAACAAGCTTGCAAAGGCCAGCAGCTGAATGCCTTCTGAAGTCATAAAGAAATCCCTGAGTTGTATTTAATAACATCAAAATATACCTCTTTGGGCATTTGGTTCTGTTTTTTAGACCACAGAAGTATCTTTTGTCCTTCAGTCTGATTCCCAACTCAAGATTCATGTGAGCCTTTTCATTGTTTTTAGAAAGTGCAGTAACATTCAACCCTGAATTTTGACCATAAAAATCAAAATGCCCAAAAACTTAGGGAGGAGGGTGATGATGGTAAATGTCCTTTTTGTGTAATACCCAGATGGGTGACACTTCTGAAATGGTCCCTGGCCTGCAAATAGAGGTGAGAGGTTCTGAAAAAAAGATATTTGGGTCAGAATTTCCTGCTCTTTTATAGTTAAAAAAGGGATATACATAGTTAAATAAATGCAATGCATATTTATACTGAATTGGTTCTACCTAATAAACACTATGAACATAGGTTAAAATCCAGCCAAAATTGAGCAGTTTAGCAATCTTTTGTGGGAAGGAGTGACAGAAATTTGCATCTGTTCCAGTGGCAATCAAAGGACTTGGTTAATGTAATTCCATATGGGCTTACTCAGAAGTAAGCACCAAGGAACACAAAGCAATTGGTTTCCTTTTCAATTTGCACAGGATTGCAGTCCAAAGGGCTTGATTTTGGCTGGGTTTTATTACATCTAGAAATATTTCAACATTATTAGAAAAATACTGCAATTAAATTAAGGGGGCAGGAGAAAGATGAAAAAGAAAAGTGAGGATAAAGAATATTAGTAAATAAAATATGAGGATTACAGATCCAATTCTGCTGATTAAAAATAAAATAAAATTAGACATATCTATGCAATTGAAAAATCACACCCATGCAAAGATGCTTGGCAGACAGTCTGAATGGGCCTTTGGTCTTTGGAAAAGGCAGAGAACATCCCTTTCCCCCAAAAGTCCAGCTCAGAAAAAGCTTATTGAGTTATCTCTGAGCTTTAGATTCAGTGCTTAGAAGTCAGCAAATGCCACCTGCCAACACAAGGATTCTGCTACTGCCCATGGGAATATTTAATATGGGCATCTTTAGTGTAGAGAATGAAGTGCAATGGGTAATGGGGCATGTTAGGAAGGAAGGGAGTGAGGGAGGAAGGGAGGAAGGAAAGGAGGGGGGGAAGGGAGGGAGGGAGAGAGGGAGAGAGGAAGGAAAAGAAAGAATAGGATGGAAGGAGAAGGAAGAAGAAACAGATGAGGCAAAAGTAAGGAAGGAAGGAAAGAAGGAGAAGAAAGAAAGGGACAAAGTAAAAGGAAGGAAAGAAGAGAGGAAGAGGGAAGGAAGGGAGCAAGGAAGGAAAAGAGGGAGGAAGGGAGGAAGAAAGGAAAAGAAAGAATAGGATGGAAAGAGAAGAAGAAAGAAACAGATGAAGCAAAAGGAAGGAAGCAAAGAAGGAAGGAGAAGGAAGGAGAATAAAGAAAGGGATGAAGAGGAAGGAAGGAAGGAAGGAAGGAAGGAAGGAAGGAAGGAAGGAAGGAAGGAAGGAAGGATGTCCCTTCAACTGCCTCTAGGGTTCATGTTTGGGATGACATTAAGTGCCACTGATCTTAACAGATGGAGAAATCACTGAGGCTGCATTTTGCACTGGGAGGGGTTAAGAAACCCTTCTCCCCCCCCAAGAGCCTTGGAACCACATTCCAAAGTGACCTCACTCTGATCCTGCCGACTTTGGAAATGTGACCCTTGACATGAAGTTTGGAATCTCTTTTGGCTCTCAAGCTGATTGATCCAAGGAGCAGACTCCTGGCTGAGAAAATGCAGCCATGGCAAGAGTTATGCATTTCCCCAAGCCACAGTGTGCTTTGGTTTCACCTACGTGTGAGTTGTGAATCTGGTTAAAAGATCTGGAGTCACCTGTGTGTGGTTGCGATGCCAATGACTGCCTTCCCCAAAATTTGGAAATGATAAAAAGTGGCTTTCTTTTTTTTTTAAGGATATGACAAATGAACCAGCAGCTTCACAACCATTTGGTGTCCTTCTGTTTCTTTAAAAGGTCTGATTTTCCAAAATCACCAAAAGAAGCTTTTCAAAGCTACATTGACTGGGGAATTCTGGGACATGAAGTTTACACATCTTAAAGTCGCCCAGGTTGAGAAACACCATTTTAGATCTTTTTAATTTTAAAGCTATGTATGTTTTTAAAAAGGCACTTGACATATTTGGCTGGCAGCAGTATTTCCCTGTCTTTTTGGTTATATGACTATTGCTTCTACAGTCAAAGTTTTTAAGGCACACTCCAGCCACGCTTTCTTTGGTCCTAGTAACTTACTCAAAGACTTAGCATATATACAAGCAAAGCTTTCCCACGCTTACTTCAATTCCTGTGCCAGAGAATAAGGCACAAAATCAAGGGTCTGGGAGGAGTTGGAGAGTGATTAAAAAAAAGCTCCAGAAGGTGATCATGACTACCTGAGCAAGGACTGATCACCTTGATTTTCTTGAATATCATTCTGTCCCCAACAGCTCTGCATAGGATCCAAATTAATTTTCACCCAGGTGAACTTGGAACATCTCAGAAGATGTGAGATGTAGGTTGTACTGCCCTCTTCCCACTGATCCTGTGACTAAATTATTGGCAAATTAAGTGCTTTTCAAAACAAGCCTCCCCCCCCCCCTCTATTGCTTCTTACAACAGAGAGAGGGAAACAGGCATGCTTAACTGATGCTCGCTGCACTTCTGAAGGGTTTGTCTTGCAATCCATTAAGCAGAAAACATTTCTAGCTTAAGCATAGCAGCTTTAAGGTCTAGAGAACAAGCAAGTCTCTTTTAAGAAGCTTCTATATTCACAGTTTCACGGGTCTGACTTTCCTGGCCCATTAAAACACCTGAGGCTTTTTCTTTCCTGTGCTGTATTTTTTTCATTATTATTGCATTTAGTTGTTTACACTGTTGTACAACAAGCAAAATTATCTACAGAGAATTTTTCTCAGCCTTGTTCTGCAAGTTGGTTGTGGCTAAATACAACTTGCAGTTTGAGCGGGTGTCTCTGAGCATGTCTCTGTAGGTGTGTTCTGGCAGATTGCTTTAGGTTCTACAATAAATCTGAGTTTCAGGCTAGGTTTTGATCTCTATGCACAAAATATTGAGGATAATTATCCCTGGATAACAACCTCAGTATTTAGAATGGAATTTCCCTAGCAACTTTTAAAAGGGACAAAACAACTGGAAAATTGGTGTGCAGTCCAGAGTGTTAGAGAGCAAACCCCACCGAATAAAAGATAGACTGCAACAACCACGGCATTCAAAACATAATTTCATGGGGAAGGTTAGGAAATAAAAGCCAGAGAGCTTGAAAGACACAGCCTTCAGAGAATTGCTCTTAAAAGAATTCCCACTTGCACTTGCACACTTGTACATTTGACTTCAACGGCGAATAAGCCACGGTCTGGCTTCTCCACTTAGGACAGGATTTCTGTTAAGCAAGAAGAAAACCAGTAAGCTGGCTTAGAACACTGCACGGTCAGAGATGCAAAACCTGCCGGTCCCCCACCCCCAGGGCTGGTTGGCTACACTGGAGGAGCTGAGTACTGGATCACAGAGTTATAATCAGGAGGTGGGCTGTGGCATTCCAGGCTGGCATCCATTGGCAGAAGAATGGAGTCTTCCATCAGGTCATCCTCCACCGGAACGGTTGGACAGTACTTCACGGATTCTCGCTCGTGCTCATTGAACACGGATTCCTTGCTTTTGTTGATTGCTTTCCTCCTGTGAGAAGATCCAGAGGAAAATCATTAAAATTGGGTTTGAATCCCACAGTAAATCACAACGTGGTTTGCTGGAGGTTGGCTGAATGGGTCATGTGAATCTAGTCACTGAAGTTCCTAAATCATGGTTTATATAGCAGGGCTGTCCAGAACAGAGTTTCTCAATCTTGGCAAACTGAAGATGGATGGACTTCAATTCCTAGAATTCCCCAGCCAGCCAAGGCTGGAGACCCCTGGTTTATAGCTCAGTGTTATGTAAACCCAATTAACATTGAATCACTCAGTCAACTGGAGCTTAGTGCAAAATGCAAACCCAGGGACAACAAGCAACGTGTAGCTTTCTATAGCCTTGGACGGATCACATGCCTTTATATGCCTTTCTAAGGAGGCTTGAGTGTGTGTACACACACTCACCATCTTCAGTTTTACCACCTTGAACCTAGACATGACAGCTCCTGTCAGTTCATGTTTAAAGAGAACCTTTTAAACAAAGGCATTGACTATTTACTCTCCAGTCAAAGGGATGACAAGCTTGATCAAAAGCAAGTCCTGTGATTGACCACCCCCGGCAGACATGAAATGCAATTAGTTCCTAAAAAATATCCCTTTCTCCAGAGACACATCCTCTGAAATTAAAACCCTCCAGCAACTTTTTAACTTTCTGTATTTGCTGACATTTCATTCAATTCTCGCCTTTCTGAGCAGTTGACCCAACATTGTATCTCTCAATGTTCTTTCCGTGGCATCAAGCCTTTTCTTCTGCAGTTCTCAAGCTCTTTGGATTCAGAACGTGCTTTTTGGAGACAGGCCTTAAATGGCTGATTTCTGTGTGCAAGAATCACAATCATTCCAACACATCTGGAAGAGCCTAGATTAGGGAAAGCTGTCAATTGTTTTAATTTAATAAGTGATTGCAATTAGGTTTTTTTTCCTAATGTTTGTAAACAATAAAGGGGAGGGGAACTTTGCCCTGCCCAATTTTTATTTGATTTTACCACTGTCAGCCTCCAAGAATCCTCCTTCTGCTTGTTCTCTTTCCGGCTGCCATAGAAACGGTGGGGGGGGGGGGGGGAATAGTTGGGCTTCGGGGGGGGGAAGGGAGCTGGAGGATGAAGTTGGTGTATTGTAAAAGTTGGGATGCTTTCTTGATTATGCTTACTTGCTTACTGCGCAGATGCAGCCTCTTATCTGTTCAGGCCAAGGTCAACCGTCTTGTCATACCAGATGTCTGAAACATCACTTGAAGATGCCACACATGACATTATACACACCTCAGATTGGATGGCCAGTTTGAACTTTTGGGGGTGGGGACATGAGATAACTTTCTATTTGTGATTTTTGCACCTATTGTCTCAGATCTTGCATTTCTTCTGATGCTACCATTTCAAATTCAGTAAAAGTCCTTTTCTCTATAACAATGGAGTCTAAGGTTTTCTTGCTTGGATTTTGAATGGAGCTACACCTGACAACCATGCTCTTGCATTTCTGTAAGCAGCAGGCAAGTGGATGAATTACACCTGAATGTTTTAAAAATTCCTTACTTATATGACACAGAGGACATATGTGCAGTATGTAGCACCCCTTGGATTTAATGTATAAATGAACCAAGAATATACTATCCATTATATTTGACTGATTGGGCAATTTGTTATTATAACAAGCAAATCTATGGCAGAATTTTTATAATTCAATTTCCTTAAAGGTTACAGCATGCCATTTGCAAAACGAGTTCTCAGAGATAGATATGCTAATGTTAGGAAACAGCCTGGCAGGGAGGAGGGAGCAAGCATAGAGACAGTCCGGAGTCACTGTGCAACTGTAAAAGGGCCAGAAATGGCCTTCCCTGAATTCATTGGAGTCTCATCTAATTATTCCCAAGAGAAGGCTGCCAGACTGGGGAGATTCCTGTATTATAGGTAGGACATAATAAAGTAGTTAGCTTGAATTCTGCAGGTATGGGCCTGGATGACAGAATAACAGAGTTGGCAGGGTCCATGGAGGTCTTCTAGTCCAACCCCAGGAAGCATTATACCACTCCACACAAATGTTGTCCAATGCCTTCTTAAAAACCTCCAGTGTTGGAACAAGCACAACTTCTGAAGGCAACACATTACAACTGGTTAATTGTTCCCACTTTCAGGAAATTTCTCCTTGTTTGGTTCTCTCTCCTTCATTACTTTCCACCCATTGCTTCTTGTCCTGCCTTCTCACCAGAACCATAGCTTTGGAGAATAGCTTGACTCTCTCTTCTTTGTGGCAACCCCTGAGATACCAGAACACTGCTATCATGTCACCCTGAGTCCTTCTTTCCATTAAACTAGACATACCCAATTCGTGCAAGTGTTCTTCATAAGCTTTAGCTACGTTGCTCTTTTCTGCACTCTTTTCAGAGTCTCTATATCTTGTTTATAATATGGTGACCAAAACTGGATGCAGTGAGACAGCTTTATTATGGTCACAAAAAGTGACCATAATAAAATAGTTAGCTTGAACTCTGCAGACATGGGTGGAGTCTGGTTATTTGCAACTAACAGCTGACTAGTTCAAGGAGGGTGTAAGGAGGTTGACTTTTCACTCTTGTCACTTCTTCCCAATTTTCATAGCAGGCATTTCCATTCCACCAGCATCACATGCCACAGCTGGTTTATATCCCTCCAAAAATTCATATGCTTGGCAACTGGTTCATACTTATGACCGTTGTTGTATCCCTGGGGTCATGTGATCCCCTTTTGTGATCTTCGGACAAGCAAAGTCAATGGGGGAAGCGGATTCATTTAACAACTGTGTTACTAATTTAACAACTGCAGTGTTTTATTTAACAACTGTGGCAAGAAAAATCGTAAAATGAGGCAAAACTCACTTAACAAATTTCTCACTTAGCAACACCAATTTGGGGCTCAAATGTGGTCGTAAGTTGAGGACTACTTGTATTTAAGTTGATTACTATCTGTACCTGTGTTTAATGAGGTGCTTGGGGAAGTTTTCTTTGCAACAGAAAGGGATTTAAATGCAATACTAGTTACGAGTATAAACTGGAATTTGCTAATGTGAATGGGGCTGTTTAAATCACTGCCACCATCATCTGTAACTCAGAACAAATAACAGGATACAGAAATTGACCGGAATGGATTTCTAAAAGTACTAGTGTTAATATATAAAATGATCAGAATGTTGTATGGTAGTTGGATAATTTTTTAATATGTTAATTTCAGCTTTCTTCCAGGTTGGAATTATGTGAAAACCTTTAGTACAGATTGTCCTCAAGTTACCATTCATTTAGGGACCACTCAGAATTAAAGGGCACTGAAAAAAGTGACTTTTGACTATTTTTCACACAACTGTTGCAGCATCCCAATGGTTACATGATCAAAATTTGGATTCCTGGCAACTGGCATGTATTTGTGACAGTTACAGTGTCCTGGGGATCACGTGACTACAGGACATAGCAATGGTCATAAATATGAACCAGTTGACAAGCAACTGAATTTTGCTGCAAAGGTCATAACTGCGAAAGATGGTCATAAGTCACATTTTTCAGTGCTGTTGTAACTTTGAACGGTCACCAAACAAACTGTTGTAAGTCGAAGATTACTGTAGTTACACTGAGATAACGTATCAGGATCCAGGAATGACAGTGCCTCTTGAATTCTAGTTCAGTGGTCCCCAAATTTGGCAACTTTAAGCCTTGTGGATTTCAATTCTCAGAATTCCCCAGCCAGAGTGGGACTGGGTTGGATGGCAATGTCATTCTTTTTTCCTTTTATGTTGACCCACATACTTTCTACAAGGCTTTCATCCTTTGTCCTGTGCATCTCTGTAGAGAGGCAGTGGTGTTTTACATATAATGCAACTCCCTTTTTGTACATTCTAAACATGTATGTACATTGTAAATTTTATGTATTTATGTACATTCTGAATACTTGGAAAATTAGAGATTAAGATGCTGGAATATAAAGAGGTAGACTTTGCTTAGCAATGGAAGATTATAGAATGACTATAGGCTAGTGGGAAGGTGCCTAATAGAAAACTGGTATCGTAAGAGGTTTATGAAATATTCAGGCAACCACTAGATGGTAGCAAAGGAGTAGAAAGAACTATGTGATCTCATCACTAGAGCAGAACAAAAAAGATTATTACACACTAATGATATATTATGTCTGATTGATAAATCTGAAAGTTCACTGCCATAAGTCATTGATGCACTTTAACAGAGGTAAATTATCAGATTACTAGAAAAGTCTAATGTATTTTTCCCTGAGGCTCTTGTGTACCTGTGAAATTTGAAAACTTGGCTTTGATTGGTGTTTGAATTCTTTTAAATCTTGGAATAAATGTTTCTGTTTCTTTCAGAATAATTATAATTATAATTATTATCATTTTATATTAAATTATAAAGTATCGCTTTATAAAGCCTTTGTAAGACCACACAGAATACTGCATCCAATTTTGGTCACCACAATATAAAAAAGATTTTGATATTCTGGAAAGAGTGCAGAGAAGATTAGGGGACTGGAGGCTAAAACATACAAAGAACGGTTGCTGGGATTGGGCATGTCTTGTATAGTGAAAAGAAGGACTAGGGGAGACATGAGAGCAGTGTTTCAATATTTGAGGGGCTGCCATAAAGATGAAGGGGTCAAACTATTTTCTAAAGCACCAGAAGGCAAGACAAGAAACAATGGAGGGAAACTAATCAAGGAGAGAAGCAACCTAGAACTAAGGAGAAATTTCTTAACAGTGAGGACAATTAACCAGTGGAACGTCTTGCCTTCAGAAGTTGTACTTGCTTCATCACTGCAGGCTTTCAAAAAGAAACTGGACAACCACTTTGCCTGGAATAGCATAGAGTTTCCTGCTTGAGCAGTGGGTTGGACTAGAAGACCTTCAAGATCCCTTTCAACACTGTTATTCTGTTACCCATTGCTTCTTGTCCTGTCCTCAGGTGTTTTGGAGAATGTCAACCCCCTCTTCTCTGTGGCAGCCCCTCAAGTACTGGAAGACGCTATCATATCACTCCTAGTCCTTTCTCTTTGTTAGACTAGACATACCTAGTTCCCTCAATCATTCATCATCATATGGTTGAGCCTCCAGTTCCCTTATCAACTTCTGCATGATCCTCACCATTCATTAGGGTTACCGATCTGCAGTTTGTCCCCTGGCAGCTGTGGCAATTGGACCTTGTCCCTAATGGCTCCTGGTCTTTGGAAGCGTTCCTACTGAGACAAAAAGCTGAAGTCATTGGGAGTTCCGGTTTGTCAGGTTTCGGTGGCAGCAGGAATTTGCGTTTGTGCGCGATCCCTGCCGCGCTCGCTGCTGGAGTGCCTCCGATCCAATTGGATCTGGAAGCTATAGTTATCCTGTAGGGATAACTGAAGACAGGGGAGATCTGGACAGGGGTCTGGGGACATTGCAATCCCCTTCCCCAGCCGGCTAAACTCCCTTTTCCAAAGGCGGTGGAGCGGCGGTCAGCAATGGCCGCCACAAAGAACCTCTCAGCTGGACAAGTTTTGTGCAGGAGGAAGTGGAGAAAGTGAAAGTCTTTGGCTGAACCGGGACAATAAGTAACATCTGAACACCCTGGAAATTTAGCTCTTTAAAGGATACATTGTTCCCAAGAAGATTGTAAAAAGCTGCGGATGAAAGTGAAAAGGGAAAGTTTTTTTTTTTTTTTTTGCTTCACTCTGCTTCCCTACGGAGATAGCAATAGAAATCGGAAACACCCACTTTGGCAACAGAAGGTAACTAATTTTGAAAATTAAAGCCAAGGGGACATTAAAGATTTCTGAACATTATATTCTAAAATCATTTTTTTTTTTTTTTTTTTTTTTGCTATAAGTGGGAAGGGAGAGGCAAATGATTTATACTAAAATTCTGCTGGAGGAGACTGCTTGGAGTTTATAAGATCAGAGATTAAATTGTAATAAAGACTTCTAAGAAATCATTTTGGAATTGTGTAATTGAACTCTACCCCAGGAAGAGAAAGTATTAAAAGAAGAAAGTGCTAAATGAAACAGTTTGGGTTGATTTGGATTGCTTGATGACTTTGGAACTTTTGCAAACTATTTTTTGAAAGTTTAAAAACACTTGGATTGTTTAAAAAAATAAAAATAAAACAATGGCATTATCTGTGGAAGAATTAAAAATGGAATTTAAAAAGCTAAAAGAAGAGGAACAGGAAGGCAAGGGCTCTTTTGGATCTGTTTTCCACTTCTTAGAAATGGCGATTTCTACCTATCAGGAAATACAGCAATCAGAAAGTTGGGATGAAGAAGGAGAAGCCATCTTTAATGGACAAACAATTTTAGCTGATGAAGAAAAGGGAAAAGGCGGAAAGAAAATGGAGAATTCAAGATTTAAAAAAACAACCAAGAAAGGGAAAAATAAGGTGAAAAATCGATATAATGTCAGAAAGCAACAGAAAAGAGAAATACAACAGAGAGGGGAGACTAAAAGGGTGGAGATTGAGAGAAGGGGGTGGGGTAAAAAGATTAGATTTGACAAGAAAGGAAGGGAAAAAGGGAAAAGAAGTTATAAAGGCTTAAAACAAGATGCTAAAAAGCAGGTGGTTTTTTTTAGAGATAAAGGGTAAAATATGATTTAAAGAGATTCTGTAAAAGTACACAAGATTGTATTGTAGTATTTGTATTTGAAATAGAGTTGGAAAACTGGAATATTATAATAGAATATTGTAGGGAATGTGTAAAATATCTAAGATTTAATAATACCTAATATCTATGTGTAAAATATCCAAGATTTAATAATAGAGTCTAACTAATTAATTTGTTATGGAATATTGTTTTATTACTATATTATAAGCTTATTATGTTTTTTTTATTTTAAAATGTTATTTAGAATGTACTAAGCAGAATCAGAATGGAAATTATGTAGTATTTTAAGTGTTAAAATTGGGGGAGAGATAGAAAGGCGTCATACTTCAACCACTGATTACAGGAAAACTTTTATATTAAAGAGAAAAGATAAATAGACAATTGAAAAAGAACGGACAAAAGATACAAGTATAATGATTTAAATTGAGATGAAGTAAATAAAATAGAATTAAGAGAGTGAAAAGAGGGGAGAAGACATATAGAGAATATAGAATGTTAAATAAGATTGAAATAGTATATAAGGTGAGCATGAATTTGATTTATGTCTGTACAAAAAGATGTAACCCGGGGTTAAGCAGCTTTCTAAAAAGAAGTCTTATGTTTTTATGTTACGTGTTTTGTTTGTTTATGTTTGCTTATTGAGAATTAAGATTGTTGGATGAGAACATATGAAATTGTAAATAAGATAGATGAAAGTATAAGTTTAATGAATAAAATTGAATAGAAGTAAAGGGAAAAATAGTGAGAAATTGGAAAAAGAGTAATAAGATATGAAGTTGAATATATAAGATGCATATTAAATTGTGTTTGTATGGAAGGCCTTAAAATGCATTTTGGTGCTCTTTTAGCTGATGTTTTAATTCAGAGATGTAGTCCTTTGAATGGTGTTTGCCCTTGCCTTTGGCTGTGCTGAGAAGGGTAGTTCTGTGATGTACAGAAGTCCATAGATGTCCCCACTTCAATTTATAATGCAGTACTTAACAGATTCAATTGTTTTAATTGTTTCATTGGTTTCTGACTATTTTTAATTGGTACTGAATTTTTTGATTTAGCAGTTTTAATATATACATATAATTATTTAATGTAACTTTTCTCAAACTTGGCAGTTTTAAGATGTGTGAACTTCAACTCCCAGGTAATTGTGGGGAGTGAAGGCTTATAGTGGCAAGTTTGAGAAACAATGTAGTGTAATTATACATTTTAAATTATATATATATAGAATATATATATATGCCGAAACGTTGCTACAACTTTAAAAGCACAACTACAATGACGTGGGAAAATACCCGAACAAAGCTGAATGCCATACATGTAAGTACCCGCGAAAACTTAAGAATGAATATATATATGTATGTATGTATGTATGTATGTATGTATATGTATATGTATATGTATATGTATATGTATATGTATGTATGTGTATATGTATATGTATATGTATATGTATCTCTCTCTCTCTCTCTCTCTCTATCTATCTATCTATCAAATTTAAAATTATATATATATAATTGCCTGTAGCAAAGAGCCTATCAAACTATTTGACATTGCTCAGATTGTTCATGAAGCTGCTGGGATAAGAAAATTGCCATCAGTCAGTTGCAAAAGGCAGCTTTATTTAGACCATAAAACATGGAATAACAGGGTTGGAAGGGACCTTGGAGGTCTTCCAGTCCAAGAACCTGCTTAAACAGGAGACCCTCTACCATTCCAATACAGGTACCTGTAGTCCTCGACTTACAACTTTGCTTAGTGAACATTCAAAGTTATAACAGCAGAGAAACAGTGACTTATGACCATTTTTCACACTTGTGACCATTGCAGCATCCCCATCGCACACCATCAAAATTTTCAGGTGCTTGGCAACTGACTCATATTTATGACAGTTGCAGTGTCCTGGGGTCATGTGATCCCCTTTTGTGACTTTCTGACAAACAAAGTCAATGAGGAAGCCAGATTCACTTAACAACCGTGTTACTAACTTAACAACTACAATGATTCACTTAACAACTGTGTCAAGAAAAGTCGTAAAATGAGGCAAAATCCATTTAAGAAAACTCAACAACATAAATTGTGGGCTCAGTTTAATATTATTAAACAACACCTGTCTACCCCAGGTCCTTGGAAGGACTTGACAGGGAGACAAAAATGCCAAATTTAGCCTAAACATCGGGCTCATTATGTGATCAACTATAATTATCAATAATGCTCAGATTTGGAAGGAAGAGAAAAAGGAATGACTCTAGTAATCTAAAGTATATGGTTATTTCATGTGTCATTGTTGGTTTGTGTCCTTTCTGGGCAGATGATTAGAGCAGGGGTCTCCAACCTTGGTAACTTTAAGACTTGTGTGGACTTTGCTTTCCTGACTGAGGAATTCTGGGAGTTGAAGTCCACAAGTCTTAAAGTTGCCAAGGTTGGAGACCCCTGGACTAGACCACATGGAAGCCATGAAGAAATCAGGGAGTATCAATACTTAGAAATGATAGAAAATATTTGTAGCTCGAGTGGTAGATGTTGGTGGTGGTTTGTTATCCGGGCTTGCTGCTTAGCTTCCAAACATTTTGTCACCACCCTAGGTGATATCCTCACTTCGGCTGAAGGGTCTTGTTTCAGTTCTTCTCTGCTTTGATTGATCTCATGTGGTCATGTGGTTGATTTGTCATGTGATGACCTTCACACAACATGACCAGCCAATCATACGACCCATCAACCACATTACCACATATGAGATCAATAAAAGAGAAGGACTTCAACTGAAAGACTCGCTAAGGAGGTCATTTAGCTTGATGACTGTTTAGTTCAGAAGCTAGACAGAAAGCCTGGAGAACAAATCACTGCCAACAGTATCAACACTTACGCGAGAGCCATGATTCCATAAGGCCAGGATCGGATCTCCAGCCTCTTCCGGCTCTTGATTTCATCCAGGGTCAACACCATCCCACTGTCTGATTCACCGTCCTGCAGAAGAGGAGGAAGAAGAGACTCAAGATATCCTTATGAAGGCTTCTCATTCAAAGAAAAAGGCTAGACTGGCTCCCATGCAAGGATCATTTTAGCTCCAGAAAAAGTCCTCTTCCCTTTCCCAGGTTTTTCACTGGCTTTTCGTTGCCTTTTAATTGTATTTACAATCACAGAGCTTTAATTTTTTGGAAACCTGCCTTAACACTGGCTAGATTACATAATGAGTTTTTATTTTGCACAACCATATTCTGTGTTTCTCCTGGATAATAGAGGCCGATGTTCTCCTTTTCCATCTCCCCAGATTTGCTTACTTGGCTGGCAAATTTACCAACCTATTATATCTTATTGAAATAGCACTTGGACTTATATACAGCTTCATAGAGCTTTACAGCCCTAAGTGGTTTACAGACTCAGCATATTGCCCTCCAAAATCTGGGTCCTCATTTTACTGACCTCTGAAGGATGGAAGGATGAGTCAACCTTGAGCTGGTCAGGATTGAACTCTTGGCAATGGGCAGAGTTAGCTTGCAACAATGCATTCAAACCATTGCACCACCATGGCTCACTATGGCAGGATAAACCATAACTGATAATGCAAAATATTGGGTACATTATGCACCTATTGGATAACTTCAATTATGTGTTACTTTTCAGGTAGTTATTTACATTCAGGGATGGATTTCCTAGCTGCTTCCTGTTTGCAAATTTTCCCCTTAACAGTAACCACTTCCAGGTGGGCAGTGAAAAACACATGTTTGGTTCAAGCTCACCTCATGTATCATCTTCTCCTTCTCTACAGGCACTTCATCAAAGGTTTTCACACTGAGTGGCCGGTTCTTGGAGTTAATGCTGAAAATAAAGAGGAGACAAGACTTTGGGTTGCCCACACATGGCCATTAAGCACGGGGTGTAGTTGACACAAGCATTAATTTTGCTGTCCATGCATGTTGTTAGGAATGATAGTCACCTAACAGTTGGGTTGGCAATATATAGTCATTTAATACTGTTGTATCTTTAAGAGAATGCTGTAACTGTGATTGGCTGAGGTTCCTCCAATGGCCATAAGATGGAGCCAGAAACCTGGTTTGTTCCTTTTTGCATTTCGTTTTCTTTCCTTTTGCTTTTTGCCTGATCGTCATTCTGCTTGAATTGCTGTGAGTCTTGCAACTATTCACAAACTCTATTTACTGAACTTTGTTTATGATACTGGTAAAGAAAAGGACTTTGTTTTTGGATTATCCCTGGACTGATTGTTTTGAATACTAACTGCTTTAACCGTGTATGATTTGGACTGTTTGTTGGACTTTGTTTACCTGTTTACTGGAAGTAAAACTTACATTTTACTATTCAGTGTATCTGTGTGCTGGTTGTGTGTTATTCATCACCACTCTCACTATGTTTCCCTGAGTGCACTCATTCTCCTAACGGGGCATACCTCAACACATGTGAAAGCAAGATACCAGAAAAAAAGCATTTTGATCAGTCCCCTAATCATCATTTTTTGTTCTTCTTTGCACTCTTTCTAGAGTCTCAACACCTTTTTTTGTATCCCGATGAACAAAACTGGACACAGGATTCTAAGTGCAGTATGTAAAGCGATACTAACACTTCTCACGATTTTGATACTATCTCTCTGTTGATGCAGCCTAGGACTGCGTTGGTTCTTTTGGTACTGCAGCATATGGCTGGATCATATTTAAGCCACCTGTATATTCTTAGGAATAAAGGAAATAGTCAGTTAAAGGTCAGACTGTTAGAGAAGCTTCAAAAATACAGTGGATAGACAATTTAGTTTCCACTACTATCTACCTTTCCTTTCAGGTACTTACTTTACACTATGAAAACATTGATTTCCATTAATTCCTTTGGAGATGCTGCAAAAAAGAGACGTATTGCTACTTCTATCCCATCCAGAACTTTTAGGGCTTCTCTGATCCCTTGTTACAATGAGATCAATGGCTGTGCCTCAGTATTGATTAAGGCAATTTTGAGATTTTACAGGCTATCCTAGACTTTTTAGTAGACATATTTTCACAGTCTACAAATCTGGGCTTTCACATCTATTAGCACCAGTCAAGGAAAAACAACAGACTCTTTCAAAACACAAGAAAAAGAGGAAACAAACGAGGAACAGAATGAACCAGTTAAATGGCCGTTTCTGCTTGGGAAAAGGTTTTTCATTGCCTAAAGTAGCTTCCTCACCTGGCTTCTATAGCACTCCAGCGGTGAATGAAATTGCTCACGTTCTCTTCCAAGATGCAGATCTTGGGGTTGGACTCCCCATCAGGACACAAAGTAATGTTCAGTGGGATATAGTCTTTCCCATCCTTGGGAAAAGAAAACAGGAGAAGCTCGGGCTTATCATTTTTACTTACTTCAGAAATCATTAACTGTCATATTCCTCTAATTCTCTTAGGACAGGGGTCCCCAAACTTGGCCACTTTAAGACTTGTGGACTTCAACTCCCAGAATTCCTCTGCCGGCAAAGCAGGAGTTGAAGTCCACAAGTCTTAAAGTGGCCAAGTTTGGAGGCCTCTGTCTTAGGAGATCACTTTACCTGAAGCCTCCAGGAGATGAAATTTTTCATTTTCTGGGACCCAGCTGTAATATTTTGGCAATGCACCAGCAATGACATTTTGTCCAACATGCACTTATCTCTGAGTATTTCTAAGGTTATCAAGAAAGTTTCCAACTGGCCCATTGGCCCAAAATCACCTAGCTGGCTTTATACCTAGGGCAATTCTAGAATTCATGACCTCCCACTTTCTAGCCTGATGCCTTCCCTGAAGTGGCTGAGATTTCATATTTGGAGCCTTAATCCAGATGTTCGAAATTTCAGTTCACAATTAGAGGTGATGGGAGTTATAATCCAAGAACGTCTCAGGGGCCACAGTTTCTGTATTCTGCCTAAGCTACTAATTTTTTTTTGCTTCCTTTCCCTTGTGGTTCTTTGATTAACACTTATCTGTGTACCAAAATCTGTTAATCTTCCAAGCAGTTTAATGCAGAGAAATAAAGCTTAGACCAATGAGCAGAGAACTTAGAATCATATGACTGGAAGGTACCTTGGAGGCCTGCTAGACTAACCCTCTTCTCAAGGCAGGAGACCTTATGACATCCCAGTCAAATTGTTATCCAGTCTATTCTTGGAAACCTCCAGCGATGGAGCAACTCCGGGAGGCAAGCTATTTATCTGATTAATGATCCTTACTGTCAGAACTTTTCTCCATACTTCTAGGATGAAGCATCCACCCATTGCTTCTTGCCCTGCCCTTAGGTGCTTCGGAGAATAAACCAATCACCTTCTCTCTGTAACAGCCTCTCAAATACTGGAAGACCGTTATCCTGTCCTCCCTAATCCTTCTCTTCGATAGGCTATACCTTCCTAGTTCCCTCAACTGTTCAATGATCTTGAAATCAGACTGAAGAAATAGAAGAGCATCATGGTCACTTGGGGACACTGAAGCCCACCCTAGCATGTACATAACCCCCATATTGGCCCATGGAGAAGAAATCCAGAACATTAGGTCACAAACCAATTATTATTTGCTATGTTTCTTTCATATTATTTAGATAGAAGCATTTCTTTACCTGTTTGCAACACTCCTAAGAATCCACATACGGCCCTCCATATTTACACAATTATAAAACTTATCCTTTTAAAGTCTAGCTTTCAGAAAGAACTCTTGCTTGCATTTAGTTGAAATGAAATGGGACAATTCTTCTGTATTTTACCTGCTGTACATTTGCCTGGAGCAGATCCCCTAAACGTTCCACAAGGTTGGTAAAAGTGGGTCTCTCTGTTGGGATACTGTGCCAGCAATCCAGCATGGTCTGGTAGCTACAGGGGATTAAAAACATGGTGATTAAATTTTAAAGTTGACAAAGAGCTATTGATTTATTCTTCTGCTAGGTAATCCTGTTGGGCCATAAGAATTTAATTTTTTAAGACGAAGGAGAGGCAGTAGATAACATTTCAGTCAAAATGTCCACTCGGTGTGGCACAAAGGCCTTTCTTAACAAGCACGGCTTTGATTAATTAACTCAGGTAGGCAGTTCTGTAGTTCAGATGTGGCACTGGGGAGGCCCTTAAAAAGGAATATGTTGTCATTATTAATTTAATTCATCAGCAATCCAATTCCCCAAGAACTCTGGAGTCCCTGCGGATTTTACTCCACTACTTCAGTTCCACTGCTCAGTTCCATTTCAAGGCCATTGAGCCAGTGCTATCTGAAGATATTTCACATGACCAGCATGACATCAAAGAGCGCTGTTACCTTTCCACCAAAGTGATACCTGTTTATCTACTTGCATTTGCATGTTTTCAAACTGCTAGGTTGGCAGGAGCTGGGGCAAAAAACAGGAGCTCACTCCATCGCATGTGCTCGGGTCTTGAACTTGGGCTGCCGGTTTTCTAGCCAAGAAGCCCACTATCTCAACTGCTGAGCCATCATGACACCCCCCCTCCAACAACTCTGGGCAGCCTATTATTAAATATAGAGGAAAGCTTGTTATTAAATATTGAATGAAATTTGTATCCAGTATATCCAAATGTTTTCAGGAGATTATTTAAAAGAAAAAAGTATTGCCCGTTGTGTTTGATATGGACTGAGAAATCCCAAAGCTGACCTAGATTAGGGAGAATGAAACTAGATATAAAGAATGGGCACTTAGTTCCTAACTATAGATTCTGGAGTTGCTTCATGCACACAGCATTTTGTGGGTACTGAATCTCTAGGATGAGATTTATCATGAAACGGAATGAGAAGTGACAGAAAAGTAAGATATCAGACCAACCTCAGAAGAAATAAAGGCTCTTGAAGAAGTAAAGGCACACTTGTTGTTCTGGACTTGTGGGAATTATGAGGGAATAGAGAAAGGCTCTTGCTACAATATAAAGACATCTAGAAATGGAGGGGGAAGCTTACATTTCTGGAGTGGAATACTCTGGAGATCTCATCCGTGTTCCTTCTTTGAGACGTCGACAAAAGTCCTCATCAATATGGACCCCTGGATATGGAGAAGCCCCTGTGTGGGTAAATATGGAGCAGTGAGGTCCATTCAGAAATATAGTTTCATTGTGTCTCTTCCAGAGGTTCTATAACCCTAAGGGAAAGGAGTGTGTGTACCAGGAGTATTTGGGTATGCAATACAGTCCATGGAGTAGATGACCTACAAGGTCCCTTCCAACTCTGTTAATCTGTATTTGTCTGGAATAACTTATTGCACATCCTATTTTGGCTTTCCTTAGTTGTAGAAAAAATAATAATCTCAGAACAGGCTTCCTTTAGCTGCATTTCTGTCAGACGAAAAGAAATGTTTGCTCTGGAGAAGATTAAGATATTTCCTGAAAATCTTCTGCTGTGAAGTCAGGGACAACTGCAGAAGAGGGAGCCACTAAAAAAGTCAAGATGGCCTCTTCACTATGTTGACTTTATGGCCCCCTTGTGAATGCTCTAGATCAGGGGTCTCCAACCTGGGCCCCTTTAAGCCTGGCGGACTTCAACTCCCAGAATTCTCCAACCAGCTGGCTGGGGAATTCTGGGAGTTGAAGTCCGCCAGGCTTAAAGTTGCCAAGGTTGGAGACCCTGCTCTAGATGGAGGGAGAGATTGATTCCCCCATAGATCAGGAGCGTGTATTATTTTTGCAAGTGATGGGATACACTTAAACACTGGAGTGAAAAGACAGGGGCTGTACACTCAAAAATGGGGTAGTTTTAGAAAACTAAATTTCACTTATATCTAAATGTAGTTACAAAGTTTACTCTGGAATATGTCTAATACCATCTCTTGTTTCGGTCTCATGTTTTTTTTTTTTTGCACTTGTGTCAGAAGCACTGAGGTGCTTCCGGGTTGAGAGGATCAGCTGGTGGCATCACTGTTGCCTGGGGGACACCCGGTTGGGGGCTCCATTCATGTCCCCTGGCAGGAGCTGGAGGAAAAGACCCTGTCCCAACAGTAGCACCTGGGTCTCGAACATGGGCTTGCTAACCTCCAAGCCAGCCGGTGTCCTAGCCATGAGAGGCACCGTGCTCCCCTTGGGGCTCATTAAAATAACTACTTGTAAATGCAAACAGAACCAAGGTACCTTCTATCATATGTGGTAGACATGCCCGGAAGCCCAAAAATACTGGACTAAAATATGGAGAAATAGTGGAAGATCAGATAGAGTTTAAACCCAAATTGTTCTTGCTGGGAATAATTAAAAGGAAATATAGGAAAAAGATTAAATATATTTTACTACATATATTGACAGCAACAAGGATAGCATTCGCACAATGCTGGAAACAAAATAATATGCCCTCAGAGGATTAGTAATTCAAATTTTTTTAGATTGTGCTGAAATGGATAAACTGACATTAAAATTAAAAGATAAAGAAGAGTCAGAGTATTATGAAATTTGGGACAATTGGTATGAATGGTTGAACAATAGAAATAAGGATAATGGAGATAAGAAAATTATAGATAAATGTATATGAATGTATATAAACCTATATAAATGTAGATATTTATATGGGATTGATTTATATAATAATGATGACACAGTACTATTATTATTAAGATTAAAATGTGTAAAAGGTGAAAAAGAATAATAACAATTATTGAATTAAAAAAAGACTACTTGTTAGCTTTGAGGACTTTCTGAATTTAACCCCAAGATTTTGGGAAGTTGTCATGCTTGCTTGTTTGCAACAAGCAAACAAAATGGCCATTTCCCCCCCTTTTTTCTTTGATAGGACATGCTCAGGAGCAAAACTCCAGCGCAGATTGTCCCAGAAACTTCTGAAATGCCAAATCAATAATGACGAATCAATAAGAAGTTCTGAAAAATGGTCCAGACAGAAAAGCTGCAGCAAGATAAACTCCGTGTCGGCTGTCAGCACCTTGTTATTTGAAGTCTCGCAGAAGAGGGATTCCTGCTGTTACGATGCTGAAGAAAGATGACAAGAAAACTGGAAAGCATATTGATATATTAGCCTAATACAAATATCAAGGAAAAAAACCACACACACTTTGAAGGAGCTGAGCAAATTTTAATTCAGCTTGAGTTCCTTGAAAAGTACAAGGAAGAAAGAAAAAGCAAAGAGTTGTTAATCCAGATCTCAGTTCGAGTGTCAGTGTTATAGTTAGGAAAATTTCCATAGGAATCCTGTGGTTAATTTCATTGTCCAGATTTTCTACCATTTATAAATTGATTGTGCTGACATGTCTCAGCCCAGCTTTTGCTCAATTTTCATCAGATGTTCCTGTGTCCATTGGCAAATATTTCATTAAAAAAATTACACACCAGTTAGGCATGTTCATTTTAGTACAAATTGGCCTTGACCTATGTCTGTAATGGAGCCTGCCCCTTATGGTTGTAAGTCCTGGCTGTCTTAGATTGGGTCACCCTAATGTGATTGATCCAATTTTACAACCTTTTTTGTGATAGTTGTTAAGCAAATGCCATGGTTGTGAAGTGTTAATCAATGGTTTGCTATGGGCTTCTTTTACGGAAATAAATGGGAAGAAATGCCTGTTTTCTGCAAAACCGCCATAAAACATGGTCACGTGGGATGCTGCAAATGGCCATACAATGCAATCCAGTTGCCGAGCACCCAAAATGCAGTCACATGACTGTGGAATGTATGTGGCCATCAGAATGAGTGACTAGTCAAGGACTATATGTATGCATTTTATACTTTTTTTGGGGGGGGGAGTGCAAAAGTGCAAAAGTTTTTAAAAATGGCCTTCTGAGTGATGCAGTTATGCTCGGAAACATGATCTAGGTTACCTGACATGCAAAATCTACAGTTTGTACAGGAGGAGAGCCTTAGTGGTAAGGCACCAGATTAGAAAATAAGAGGTGGTGAGTTCAAATTCCGCCTTAGCCATGAGAATGGGCTGGGTGACCTTGGGTCAA